TCACTATATTCAAAAGCTCCTTGTACTGAAATCGGATACCACATGGAGCAGAGCGTTACTTTTTATCACACATAGGAGAATGACACCCAAACTACGCTTTCTGAACTGGCTATACTTTTTCCTCCTTACCATCAGTGGAAATGATAAAGTAACTTCTCCATTCATCTATCAAAGGAGTGGGATCACTGCCAGAAACTAGAATGCCTGCTGTTACTAGCAACAGTTTTGAGATAATGGGAAGTACATCAATTCCTATGGGAAATATGAACAGCCTCTCCTTGGATGAGGCCATTGTGAATGTCACTATTTCACTGTTGCAGGCAAATGGATTTGAATTCAAAATATTGCTTTACCCAATGAACCAGAAATGAAACTCCCAGAAAATATAGTTACATATATAGGCTTTTAAAACCCTCTATACTTTCTGTACCTATAGTATTGGTTTTTAAACTATGTAAGTATACAAATTCATACACACACACATGTTTGAAGATGACTAAAGAAAATAACTCAGCATTCACTTTCTTAATAGCCTTTTCTGCCTCCTTTTGTTGGGAAAGATGATGGGCCAGGATTTCATCTTGTATTACTCTGGCATTCTGCTCTCGAGAAAGTTGTCTCTGAGCATCATTTCGCTCTTCTAACACCTGGAGATATATTTCATTAGGTTTTGGGTTTTATACCATGAAAAACAGTAAAAAAAAAGCTTAGGAGGGGAATCTTTAAAAAAATTTTTTTTAAACTGTTAAAAAGAAGTAGCCTTTTTAAGCACAGGGATCTTTAATGCACATAAGTAACTCAAATTCTAATATATATGACAGCTAAATTTATCACAGAGCAAAAACACAAGGGATGTAGTATCATGAAAGAAAAAGGTTTTTTTTAACACTTTCTTTAAATTGAGTTATAGTCATTTTACAATGTTGTGTCAAATTTCAGTGTAGAGCACAATTTTTCAGTTGTACATGAATATACATATATTCATTGTGACTTTTTTTTGTTGTGAGCTACCACAAGATCTTGTATATATTTCCCTGTGCTATATACAGTATAATCTTGTTTATCTATTCTGCATATGCCTGTCAGTATCTACAGATTTTGAAATTCCAGTGAAAGAAAATTTCTTTATAAGGCATTTAACCAATTCCATCACAGTCTCAAGGCAATTCAGCCTGGATTTTAACTTCAAAAAGCCAAAATTAACTCATGGATTTGACTTAGACTGGTTACTTTGTTGAATGACCAAAACCGTCAATCCTTATGTTAATGATTAAGCTCAATTTAACTTCCATTCCTTCATTCAGAAAAGACACAGAGCATCTCTTAGATGCCAAGTACACCAAGAAATTAGTAAGTTAAGCTCTAAATGTCATAGTTCATATTTAGGATGAGATAACTTTAATCTGTTTTAAATGAAAATATAGATTAATTCAAAAGAATATTATAAATAATATTGATGAAACAGTGTTACAGATACAAAATTTTCACAAAAGACAAATTTACCTGATTTGGTTTATTCCTTATGCTCTTCAGTTTGCATTCTAGTGCTCGGACAGTGATTTCAAGTTGTTGTTTCAGGTAAACTTGCTCGTGGTATTGTTTCTCTTTTCTTTCTAAGTCATCCTTAGTTTTTTCATATAACATATAAGCATTTTTCTTCTTCTTTGCTTCTTGTTCTAATTTGAATCTGCAGTGAAATATGCTTACCTTAAAATTTA